TCCGCTGGGGATGGATTACCGTTGCTGGTGAAATTGGATCTGTTGAGGATTGTAATCCTGTTTAGGGAAAGAAAGAACTTCGCTGGGGGTAAGCTTTCAAAGTCTACTGGGGATGATGCCTCAACTCCGTTGGGGAAGATTTTTTAGACTGCGCTGGGGAAATGGCTCCACTGGGGGTATGTTGCATTCTGCCGGGGAACATTCTTATATTCTGTTTAGGAATATTAAGACTGCCGGGGATACTCTTATGCTTGCTGGGGAATATCTTTATACTCCGCTGGGGAAAATTAAGACCTTCTAGGGATACCAAACCTTTTTAGCGCTGATGGTGGATGAACTCTGCTTGGGGAGAGTATTGCTGATTTGTTCATAGTTGCAAGTCCCAGCTGGGAGAGCTACTATTATTGTCTTATTCTGCGGGGAGTGAAGGTATCTTGGTCATATTCTTTAGCTGAATCTACTTTTATACCTGGTGGACAGAGCAACCATACAGTTCAAACAATTCTTATTCCCCCTGCTTCTGATATTACCCATAATTCATCTTTTGTTTCACATGTAAATATTTATGAGCAGCAATTAATGTCAAATGCATATATAAAAAATGAACATTGGACGTTCCTTGCAAAACAAAACAGATAGAGGAAAAACAGTTTTTTTCTTGAAATTTCTTTGGAAATGAATTTGTATTGATTTGAAGTTTGGCCTGTATAGGCGTTTTTGTACAAGAGGCTGACGTCCTAATAAGAGAACGCCACCGAACAAATAGAAATTTATACAATTTGTTAAAAGAAAACAAAACAACTATGTGAATAACCCCACTAGGTTCCAACTCTGTTATTGCCTTTATGTCCTCAGGCATCTCATCACTTTGCTACTAGTTGAAGATGAATCTGATTGATTGGTGTCGTCCAAACTTGATAGTCGATGCCGAAGTCTGGATGCAAGGTGATCCAATGAGACATAGTGTTACGCTTTAATCCCTAATTTTTGCCTGGAGCGCCCTTTCGGGTTTTCAATCCACCGGGATACCCTTTTTTGCCCAAGCCGCCTTTTCAGGTTTTCGACTTGCCGGGTGTACAAATTTTTTCCATTTTCATCCCTTATTTTTGCCCGAACCTTTTTGGTTCGTCGGGAAGCCCTTATTTTTGCCTAGGCCAGTCAACCTAGCGGGTCTTTGATTATGCGTAGTATCTTTTCACTATGTCTGCATTGACGGGGTGAGGAAGGTCGTCACCATCCATGGTGGTTAGAATCATAGCTCCTCCTGAGAAAATGTTCTTAACCACAAATGGCCCTTCGTAAGTAGGGTTCCATTTTCCCCTGGGATCACCTTGAGGTAGAATAATGCGCTTGATTACCAGATCCCCAACTTGATACTCTTGTCGTCTGACTTTCTTGTTAAATTCCTTGATCATCCGTTTTTGGTACGTCTGACCATGACAAATAGCAGTAAGCCTCTTTTCGTCGATTAGGTTCAGCTGATCAAGTCGGGTCTAAATCCAGTCATCTTCGCTCAAACCTGCATCTTTCATGATCCGAAGAGAGGGTATCTGAACTTCAATAGGCAAGACTGCCTCCATACCATAAACCAAGGAATAGGGTGTTGCCCCTGTTGACGTCCGTGCTGAGGTATGGTACCCATGAAGAGCAAATGGTAACATCTTGTGCCAATCTTTGTATGTCACTATCATCTTCTGCACAATCTTCTTAATGTTCTTGTTAGCCGCTTCTACAGCTTCGTTCATCTTTGACCGGTAAGGAGAAGAGTTGTGATGCTGTATCTTGAATTGCTCGCAGAGCTCAGTGATCATCTTGTTGTTAATATTGGTACCATTATCCGTAATGATCCTCTCTGGCACACCGTATCGACAGATCAGATTGTGCCGAATGAACCGTGTCACAACGTTCTTGGTTACGGTAGCAAAGGAAGATGCTTCAACCCACTTCGTAAAGTAATCAATCGCTACCAGGATGAAACGATGCCCGTTGGATGCCGTAGGTATGATCTCGCCGATCATATCAATTCCCCACATTGCAAAAGGCCAAGGTGCCGTCAAGACGTTCAGGGGAACTGTAGGTATGTGCACCTTATCAGCATAGACTTGGCACTTGTGACATGTCCGAGAATACTGATAACAGTCAGCTTCCATTGTGGACCTGTAATATCCTGCCCGAAGGATTTTCTTTTCCATTGTATGTCCACTGGAATGAGTCCCGAAAGTACCTTCATGCAGCTCTGCCATGATCTTTTCTGCTTCATTCTTATCCATACAACGCAGTAATGTCGAATCATGGTTACGCTTGTAAAGAATGCCACTGCTGATGAAGAACTTCGCCGCGAACCTCCTCAGAAACTTCTTGTCATTAACAGATGCACCCTCAGGGTATTCTTGAGCTTCAAGATACCTCTTCACCTCATGATACCAGGGCTTTTCTGTTACTTCTTCAGTCTCAAGATCACAACAATGTGCAGGTTCGTCCAATCTTTCAATAATGATTCAGGGAGCTTCATTGTCCCAATTAACTTTGAACATAGAAGACATCGTAGCTAACGCGTCCGCCAGCTGATTCTCCTCTCTAGGGAAGTGTTCAAAGGTTATCTCCTTGAAATGGGGAAGCAATGTCAACACATACTCCTTGTAAGGGATAAGATTTGGGTGTTTCGTATCCCACTCGCCTTTGATCTGACTGATCACGAGAGCGGAATCACCGAAGACGCTCAAGAACTTAATCCTTAGGTCAATTGCTGCTCGAAGACCCATAATGCATGCTTCATACTCCGCCATGTTGTTGGTGCAGTTGAAATATAGTCGGGCGGTAAACAGAGTATGAGTGCCTTTAAGAGATATGATCACGGCGCCAATGCCATTACCCAAAGTGTTAGAAGCTCCATCAAAGTACATAGACCTTCGGGATCCTTCCTCAGGTCCTTCATCCGGTCCAGGTGTCTCACAGTCAGTAACCAACATGATATTCTCATCCAGGAATTCAAAGTTCATAGACTGGTAATCATCCACTGCCTGATGTGCCAAATGGTCTGCTAATACACTTCCCTTAATTTCCTTCTGGGTCGTATACTGGATATCATACTCAGTCAAGATCATCTACCATCTTGCTATTCTTCCGGACAAGGAAGGCTTTTCGAAGATATACTTGATTGGATCCATCTTTGATATCAACAGAGTAGAGTGAGTCAACATATACTGTCTCAGCCGGCGAGCAACCCATGCCAAAGCGCAACAAGTTTTCTCGAGCAGTGAGTATCGGGTCTCACAGTCGGTAAACTTTTTGCTAAGGTAATAAATAGCATGCACTTTTCGGCCAGACTCGTCATGCTGCCCCAGCACACACCCCATTGAGTTGTCGAGTACTGTCAAGTATAAGATCAAAGGTCTCCCTTCAACTGGTGGCATCAGGATGGGTGGCTCTTGGAGATTGTTGTACCCCGATTTTTGACCTAAGATCCCATTTTTATTTTTGCATTTTTTTAAGATAAGTCAAGGTCACGAAATACGGTCGGTTTTAACGTCTCACCTTCGAGCTTTGACTATGCGAAGATTGCCAAGTGTTTTGAACATTTTTAGCATATGTATCACTAATTTCTAATCGCATACAAAGGTGTATATTCATGTTTTCTTTTGTGTCATGTGCAAGAGACAGGTCTGAATCAAGAGCATCAGGTGTCGCGCCTCAATTAAGGTTTTGAGTCTCCCAAGCCAGAAGTACGGTTGATTGTGGATTCTCGAAGACTGATTCATCAAGGCACAACGTTGCACCCTTAATTTCGCCCCTATTTTTTTTCAGTCACACATTCATACCATATTTTATCATTTGGTCACAATTATTAGTAAATATTTTCATTCATCACATTTTGCATCATTAGTCGTATTTAAGTTGACCAGAAAAGTCAGTTTAAATCAAAGTTTGCATCGTCTTTTAGTTAAAAAATACCTGACATTTCACTTCATGCATTTTTATCTCTTTACTCGTTTCTTGCATTGCTCCAAGTTGTTTATATGTCGATAATAAAAATATTTTGGTTTTATAGACAAACTGTTAAAAACGATTCAACAATGTGCAAAAATTAGTGAGAAAAATATTTCAAGTTTTCACCTTTTGCTGGTCATTTTATGAATCTGCGTTTCGCGTAGATTATGACGGTATGCTCGCTTTATTTTTTCAATACAATTTGAAGTCTCGTTTTTAACCGTAAAACGTCTGTTTAGCCTAGTATTTTCATTATCATTTTATTCCTATTTTTACTTTTTTGAATATTTTTTCTTTAATCTTTGTGACATGTAGTTTATTTTAATGTGTTCATTTTATTTTTTCGGATAAATTTTCGTCCGTTTTTTATTGTTTTCGGTCATTTTAGCTCTTTATTTTTTTATTCAAAAAAATATATTTTAAATTAAATTAATTTTAATACTTTCAATTTTTATTTCATTTTTATCATTTAAGGGCTATTTGGTCACAAAAATATATTATTTACACTTTGCTCAATTCTCATTGGTTGATAGCATGATTTGCGGATTGATAGAGATTGAATTTATATTGAACGGCTTGGATTTATTTTGAAATCATAATATTTCTCTTTATGTAATGGGGACACATCACAAAAACAAAACGACAACTAACAGAAAACCAATAGCTTTCTCTCTCCAGCGCCCTTTTTTTCATTTTACTACCCTTCTCTCCCAATTTCATTTTATGTGTCTTTGTTTCTATTCCCAAGCAGTAACTATTTTCCTCCAAACTTCAATTTCAGCAACATCCCAATCGCCCTTAACCTTCCTCCTCTCGCCACTGTCCATCACCCTCATCATCTACAGTACCTCCGGTAATACCCCTCCGCCGGTTACCGTAACCCTTTCCCTCTCTTCAAACATCCACAACAACCCATACTCCATTTCTTCCTGCACCAAATCACCAACAACATTCGAAAGCTCAACCTCAACTACCCATTCAAATCCTTGTCTTGTTAATTTTCTTATAATCAAATGATGGAACTCAAGAGTTCCCTAAAGAGCAAAGAATTCAATGTGAAAATGAAACTCATGAACAAACACAACACCACAAGAATTCAACAAGACAAAACCTGTTGCTTCTTCACATATTACAAATGGTTCCTTTGGCTTTGTCTTTCCCTTTATTTCTTCACTTCTTATCTCATCACCAACGACCCACAAGACACAAGTTCCAAATCCAACGTTGTTTCTCATTCCTCTTCAACCCAAAACAATCTAAGGTTGTTGAAAAATCTAAAGGTGTTTATTTACGAGCTACCCACAAAATACAACAAAGATTGGCTTATGAATGAGAGGTGCAAAACACATTTATTTGCTTCGGAAGTTGCTATTCACACCGCATTATTGAAAAGTGATGTTAGAACTTTCGACCCTTACGAAGCTGATTTCTTCTTCGTCCCCGTTTACGTTTCCTGCAACTTCAGCACCGTGAACAGTTTCCCAGCGATTGGACATGCACGCGCTCTTATCACCTCCGCCATTAAAACTTTGTCACTACCACAACCGGCGCGACCCCGCTTCGCACACGGATCCGATGGAGGTAGTACGGGCCGGAGTTCAGTGGTGAAGACGGATGGTGGTGATGAGAGAGTCGCAGATGAAGCAGATTTGAAGGGCGCTGATTCGGCGTGGACCGAGGGTTTGGTGCAGTAACAAAGGGAGCAAATCGGGAGATCGGTTATTGATGGGTGAACGGCGAGCGTGTATGGATTGTCGTTTGAAAGGCGGAGGGTTGCGTCGGAGGCTTTGCAAACTCACTGGAGAGAATTTGGAGGCTTATGGAGCTACTGATTAAAATAATAATAAGGTTTTCCTTTTTCTTTCAAGTTTGACAACTGTTTTTGCTGTCTTTTGTTGTATTTTGAGTTTCCAATTTGCTTTCTTGTTTTACTGTAATTGGATGCCGCTGCTGTTTTCTTTCAAGTTTATGTTCTAATTTAGTATAGGTTTAGGTAAAAAAAAATATATAAAAAAATATTAGTTAATCTTATATTTAGATTTAGTTTAGTATTAATTTAGAATTTTTTTTAATTAGTTTAGATGTATTTTATAACTTTAAAATATTTAGAATTATAATTAATAATTTTAGAATTTTAATTTAATTAGATATAAATTAGTAATGTTAGAACCTTTAATTAGTTTAGGTATATTTTGATAACTTAAAAATTTTAATTAGTTTAGATCTATTTTATAATTTTAGAACTTCCAATTAGTTTAGATCCATTTTGATAACTTTTGAATTTTAATTTAATCTTAGAATTTTAATCTTTAATTTAGAATTAATTTAGTTTTGATTTAAGTTAGTAATTTTATTATTAATATAGTTTAGATTAACTTAGTGATTTTATAATGAATTTAGTTTATACTTAAACTAGTTTAGATGTAATTTAGCAACTTTAGAATTAATTTAGTTTAGATCTAATTCAGTAATATTAGAGTGTTAATTTATTTTAGATTTAATTTAATAACTTTCGAATTTCAGTTAGTAACTTTAGAGTTTTAATTTAGTTAATAACTTCGAAATTTTATTTAATTTAGTTAGACACTTTAGAATTTAAGTTTAGTTTACTTAGTAACCTTAGAATTTCAAATTAGTTTAAATAATTTTTTTAATTACACTTTTCTTTTATTCGTGATTCTTCGTCCGTTCATTTAGTTTCTTACAAATTAGCTTGTTATCTGCCTTGCTTGTTTCTCGTGGATTTTAAATTATTTATGCTTTCGTGTTCGAATATTAGATCTACTTGCTTATGATTAACTCCAAGGAAAAGATTTAAATTTTGTTGACTTCACGTCATCAAACCTAGCTCATCCAATCGTGCGAATACCCTCATTCATCTTTTGTTTGTTTACTATTTTGCTAAACTCAAGATAATTTTCCCCAAAGACTCCATTTTCAAACTCGCACCTTTTAAGTCAAAAACTTCGACATTAGCTCGTCGGATTTTCAAAAATCTCGTCCACGCCTATTTTTAGCCAAACGAACCATTTTAATCAAACAAACAATTTTAACCAAAAACAGATATTTCAAAAGGTTCCTGCGGAGTACCGCAGATGCATTGGGTGCTAATACCTTCTTATTGTATAACCAACCCCCGAACTCTCGATCTCTTTTCAAAACGCATTGTATTTTTCATTACTTTTAAGTATTATTATACATTGCATATTTTAGGGTTTTATTTCGCTCTTTTCCCTTTTCCCTTGGAAATAATAAAGCGCGGTGGCGACTCTTGCTTTGGTGAGTCAAGTTAATTAATAGCTTGATCTCTGATTTTCACCGCTACAGAGATACTCTTTGATCCTTTCGAAAGAGGCTTGGCATTCATCGTTCCAATGCACTACTTGATTTTCTCCAGCAGCTTGAAGATTGGCTCACATGTAGCAGTTAGGTGCGAGATGAATCGGGCAATGTATTTCAGACGTCCCAGAAAGCCTCTGACTTATTTATCTGTTCTGGGAGCTGGCATCTCCTGTATAGCTTTCACTTTTTCCGGATCCACTTGAATACCTTTATCGCTTATGACGAAACCTAGAAGCTTACCAGATCTCACCCCGAAGGTGCTCTTGTTCGGGTTTAACCTCAGCTTGTACAACTTCAACCTGTCAAACAGCTTCTGCAGATGGTCAAGGTGTTCCTCCTCAGTCTGGGACCTCGCAATCATATCGTCGACGTATACTTCAATCTCATGATGGATCATGTCATGAAACAAAGCAACCATGGCACACTGATACGTTTCCCCAGCGTTCTTCAACCCAAAAGGAATGACCTTGTAGCAAAAGGTACCCCACTGAGTAACAAAGGTTGTCTTCTCCATGTCTTCGGGGTCCATTTTAATCTGGTTATAACTGGATAAACCATCCATGAAGGAGAAGACCTTGTGCTGAGCGGTGTTGTCAACCAGAACGTCGATATGAGGTAGAGGGAAGTCATCCTTGGGGCTTGCCCTGTTCAAATCCCTGTAGTCAACACACATTCGGACCTTACCATCTTTCTTTGGCACTGGAACCACATTGGCCACCCACTGAGGGTAAGAAGTAACTGCTAGAAAATCGGCGTCAAACTGTTTCATAACTTCAGCCTTGATTTTCTCAGACATCTCTGGGCGTATACGGCGAACCTTCTGTTTCACTGGAGGAAAGCCTTCCTTAGTAGGCAGGCGATAAACCACAATGTCGGTATCCAACCCAGGCATATCTTCATAAGACCAGGAAAATATCTCAACGTAGTCACGCAGCATCTGAATCAACCGGTGTTTCACAATAAGCTCCAGATTTGCATCGATCTTGACTTCCTTCTTATCTGTCTCTGTACCCATATTCACTGTTTCCACTGGCTCTTCATGTGGCTGAATGACCCTCTCTTCCTGGAGTAGCAGTCTTGCAAGTTCGCTAGGCACTTCGCAATCATCTTCACCTTCGTCTTCGGCTAAGTTGATCGGATTCTCGAAGTCATATCCGGCAGTAGCTGAGTCGTTATCAGTAAGATCCATAGTGGATGTGGACCTGTATATGTGAGTGTGTGTAAAATAGCTATTTTGCAATATATAATAAAGAAAAACAAGGAGCACAAGATTTGAAATGCAAAAAACGTCCAATGCTTTTCTTAATGATATATGAAGATGATACACAAAAGCCCTAACAAATGAAGCCACAGTGCCCCGGGTAAGACATCGGACCATAAAGTTTAAAACATTGTTTATTACAAATTCAAAACAAAAGTTTCATTACTGGGTAACAAAAGTAATAGGGATGAAGTCCTTTGCTGTCCAATTGCTCGGTCTACCGTCGGTCGTAGGATAGATCCAGCTGTCGAATTCATACTCTTCCACATCATCTTCAATGGCATTCACTCTCGAGTTGCTGATGAACACGGGAGGTCTTCCGATTCGTGCATTCCGAACAGCCCTTTGAGCTTCTGTAGTGAAACCCAAACCAAACTTGTTAGTCTTCTGTGTAAAATCAGGGAGTCGGACCCAATTTGCACACTCACCCTTCTCAATAACAGCCCGAGCATCCTTTAAGGAAGCCATTTTCATAGGAGACTCTTCAACTACAGTCTCAGCTGATGCCAGTGTCTGGGGAACCTCTTCAAAGTGCTGAAATGTGGTCTCAATGAACTCCCCATCCATCTCTACGTATCGAAAAGAGTTGAGGTGGCTGACCATATACTCTTCCTCCCCTTGTACTGTCAAATTCTTCCCTTTGACTGGGTACTTCAGCTTCTGGTGGAGCGTTGAGGTTACGGCCCCAGCTTTGTGGATCCATGGACGACCTAGCAAACAAGAATAAGATGGCCGAATGTCCATCACATAGAACGTAGAGTTAAAGACCTGAAAACCCACCTTGATCGGGATATCAACCTCTCCATGCACCATCCTTTTAGACCCATTAAAGGCCCTGACAACAATGTTACTTGGTTTCAGCTCCAACCCTTCACAATCCAACCGGTATAGAGCTTTTTTAGGCAATACGTTCAATGAGGAACCAGTATCCACCAATACATGTGCAAGAGTAGTGCCCCTGCATTCAATGGAGACATGCAGGGCATCATTGTGATTCTTCCCTTTAGCAATCAAGTCGGCGTCCGAGAAACCCAACCCATTATCAGCGGTCAAATTGGCCATGCAATCTGTAAATTGATCAGCTGATGTCTCTTGTGGTACATAAGCAGTCTTCAGAAATGTAATCAGAGCCTTGGCATGGGCCTCTGAGCACAGCAATAGTGACAACATAGAAATCTTAGACGGGGTTTGCCCCAGCTGTTCAACTACATTATAATCACTCTTCTTAATAATCTTCAGAATCTCTTCTGTCTCCTGTTTGGAAGCTTCAACAGTAATTGTCTTCGGTGCCTTCGTCTGGGCAGGCACATCAGTGGTGATCCCTTTGCCTCGAGCGTCAGATGACTCGGCGACAGGGGTAAGAATAGGAACTTGATCAGGAATAGTAACAGGTACACTGGCAGGTGTAATAACAATAGGTCTTCGGACAGTAGGTGGAGCAATATCAGGTGAGACAAGTCTTCCGCTGCGGGTGACTTTAGCAGGTCCAGTAATGTTGCTGATGTCAGTACCAACATCCAACTCTTGCTTAACTCCATGAAAATAAACATCAGCCCCATAGTGCCAAGGGACAGCTTTATCAGAGGTATAGGGGATGGGTCTCAGAACAGTGATGATCACAGGTGCGATTCTCGGAACGGATGTAATTCTAACAGGCTTCCTCGAGGGAGCCTTGGAAGAATTGTCGAAAATGGTAATAATGGCAACTTCTTCAGAATGAATTACGGGAACAACAGTCTTCTCAAACATAATTTCTCTACTATCCATCAGGCGTTGGATACCTGATTTCAGAAGCGGACAACCAGTAGGTAGAACAGAACATGTATGGAAACCTTCGTCACATCCCGGAAATAAACCGGCTAACAAAAGGTTCTTCTTTACAGTCAACAGAGGGGTAACAATTTCATCCACAGAAACTACAAACAATTCTTCTTCTATAGCATTTACTCCATGTTTGGGAATAGGAGCAGTCACAACATTAGGCCTCTCAGGAGCCTCAAACTCAATCTCCTCCGCATCAATTAAGTCTTGTACCTTATTCTTCAAAACCCAACAATCGTTTGTATTATGCCCCGGGCTATCAGAGTGAAA